GCCCACGCGTCTGCCTCTACCGCCACCGCTGCCACCGCCACCGCCTCCGTCTTCGCAGCCGCCAGTCGCGCCAGTGCCGCCGGTGCCGCCTACCTGTGAATCCGCCGCCGCCGCCGTCCCGCCGCTGCCGTGCATGTTGCGCCACGCGGTGCGTTGCGTCAGCACGCGTTTCAACTTCAGGGGCGTCTCCGGGTCCGGGTCGAAGGCCCCAGCTGTGATTTAGTTGTTGCCTTGGCTACCGCCGCCGTCGCTGGCGGGTGCCGCTGCTCACGGTACATCATCTCACCTTGTTATCAAGAAATGGTAGTTTAGAGGTATGCCGTGAGACAGAGTTCTGGGATTTCCTGGACGTTGAGAAGTTGCTGGGTCAGTAAGAGTAATGAATTGATGTTGGGCGGTATGTCGTTAGTATACACATCTCTCTTTACATCCCTCTTTTGAGACGGTCGCTTCTTGGGCTGATTATTTAAACATTGTTATTTTCCACTCCGCCTTGATGTTTTAGTTAATTTTTATACCCATACTTTGGTGCTCATTATTTGTCATAAACGTGGTGTAGATATTCATAACACCATTCCGTTATTGTGTACCCTGCAAATATAGTGAAACCCTACCGTTCATACGTAATCAAATTCTTCCTAACATGTCTGTATCTTTTGCGGAAGATTTTTTGTTATATCTTTACATATTCTTATTTTATATATTAGAAGATTTTGGGGTGGGGGAAAAGATCCTATACATTCGCGTTGTATAAATACACGCAGATAGTTGATTCAGCCTATAGACAGGACCTATAGACAGGGATTAATGCAACATGCAGAGTGTGCACACTCACGGAAATGGTGCTCGCAATAATTTCCAAGACTAACTGATCTACTAGTTCTTAAATATGCCTATGTTTCAATTGTAAATGTTACAGTTCATTTTCATACTAATTATTATTAATTGTGTCCAATATTACATTATTTTTAGTAGAGCCCATAGTTTGTTCAGACTTGGCGCATGTTAAAGGATAAATTCGGCTCTGCCTGCTTGCAAACATTCCACCGTGCGACTCCCGTCTTCTCACGATCAGTCGGGGCGGACGGTCGGATTCCCTTCGGAAGCGCGTGCGTGGGAGAGGTGCTGCAGTGCAGCAGCTTTCCTGCCTCGCAGCGCAATCTACTCTTCCTCCTTCCGCCCGCGCGCTGCGAAAGCCGCCGCCGCCGAGTCCCGCGAGCCGTTTTCAGTCGCTGCCGACTCATCACTCCAAAGCGGGTCGGAGAGATCGCTAGCGGTCGCACGAGCGGTGTATTTCGTACTCGCAAATCTCCGCCGCCGCGTCTCCCATAGTCTTCGATCCGTGGTGGGTTCATTTTATGAATTTCTACCGGAAGTCGTTATTTATGAAAGCAATGCCTGCTGCGGTGGATGTACAAAACTCCGCGTTTGATTTTATTTGGGTGCGTTTTCGTGATGCTTTGTGGATGAATGACCCGTGACGTTTAAATGTCTACGACTTATCTGGATACCAGAGAGAGTCCTAGAACATTTAAATTCGCAATAGGATGTTTACAAATATTATTTTATATCATAAAATTTGTTTGCGAATATCGTGATCAAAGCACACTCGAATATAACAGACTGAAAAGAAATGCAGTCTTCTTAGTGATCGAATTGTTGAAAGTTAAAAACAATGGGCATCTCTCCATAAAGATGGTATAAAGAAATTATAGTAGTTGGGCATTATTGCCGATTCCATCTAGATTCATGTACTTTGTTTTCAACGATCTATTTTGCAAATTGGTTTGTGAGTAGTAAACATACGCATGATCTCTGTTGAAGCGCCGAGAACACCAGGGTCTGCGTACGTAGCACAAGTGGATGCCAGGAGTTTTTTCTTTTATTTCTTCCTCTGATTCCACTTTGGACTATTGGTACAAACGAATGCCAACCTAGCTGTGAATAATGGCGCGACCCTGTGCTCTTTCACACCGAGAGAAATAAATCAAGTTCGCCTTCCCGTATCCGATTAACATTAGCCGAGGGCTACTGCACACATACAGTTGAACGAAGTCGCCAAGCGAAGAACTCTTACCTTTCTTCATCAGTTTGTTTTGATATTCTTAATAATGATCCTTACGGACTCAGTATCACCAGCCACATGGTTCGTAGGCTACTTGATATTGCCATAGTCACCGTTCAATTCAATTTAAATGGCAATTGAAAATCCAAATCGCGAAATTCAGAATTCAATCTTTCAGAGCCATCTGATATGATACTGGTTCTAGCAAGAAATGATAGAGTCCCATTAAAGCGAAATCTCTTTCGAAACGTTTGCGGTGTATGGCGCTGATTTAAAAATTACGTTTTAGTGCATTAAATCGGTTGATAAATACAGCGCCATGATGTTACTCACGGATTAAATTAAGTGGGCAGTGGCAGCCATATGATTCCATGTGCCATGGACGTGGGTTAGTTGGTCGTAATTCGGCGTCGGTCCCACCTCCACGGAAGCTGCGGCCCGAGCTAGTGGAGTGCCAGGGCGTTCGCCTCGCGTCGCCTCGGCTCGATCCGACCCCGCGTAGCCCTACGCGCCGCTGTCGCACTTGTTAGTCACGTTTGACGGCGCTGTGATTGATGAAAAGCGCTGCGCTGCCGACGGCGCGCCGCCCCCGCCGATGCGATGAACGTCGTACCGCCGCCACCGCCGACGCTGCGGCTTGTTCGTGCCAACCAGAGCATGCATTATTGTTCTTTTCTTCCCGCGCTGGAGAGTTCCGAATAGCGAGTGGACGCTCGCTGCGTGCCCTGTGTGTGTTTGTGTGTGTGGTTGTGGGTGAGGAGTCAATAGTGGCTCTTTTCGAATCTGCGAAATGATTTTAATTTTTTGACAGGCGCAAATGACTGTTTCTTCCCGTGTCCCTCTGTATAATGTAGTTTTATCCGAAGAACGTAAAAGAGTTCAATTTCTTGAGTAGCAATCTGAAAACATTTACTGTTAGTGTAACAACCCCAGCCAAAATATTCCTTCGCTTCCCTCTTACCGGAACCATCAAGTCGTGGAATTCATTTATGTACAATGTGATTTGTTCTATGCGCTAGAATTGGTTGAAAAAGTAATATTTTTTTTAGATATTATTAGGATGCATCATATTTTCAGTATATTTATAATTCCTTTGTCCTTTAGGCTGCTACTACTGTCTAGGCTTCTTGCTAATAACATTAGTGGCATCTAATTTTAGGGCAGACGTTCAAATGCGCTCCATCCCGCTGGTACATGTACGCCAGTTTACACGTTCGCACCGGTTGTTCGCGAATATTCCTCGTGATTGCGGCCCTGCCAGCCCCCGCGTTGTAGCACGTCACCCCCTGCTGTGGCCCCTCGATTTTCCCGCGTTCCCCTCCTGTCTCCCCTCCACCGCCTCCACCCTGCCTCCTCAGCCACCGCCGCGCCTCCCGCCCCGCGCCGCCCCCCGCGTGCCTGCTGCTCACCGCGTGTACGACATAAATCTTTATTTAGCGACTTGGCCGGCGGAGTTTTCGTCCTTTTGTCTTCGCGTCCTTTCAGCTCGCGCCGTTTGTCTTGCCTTTCTTCCCGCTCCCTGTCTTTTATCGTTTTTTCGTCTTTCTTTCTGTCTTCTTGTGTTGAATTTTGGTTCTGTGTTCTTTTTTTTTTTTTTTTGTTTCTCTCGACAGTGCCCTCCTAGCGCGCTTGATTGCTCAGTGCCATTAATTCTAATTACATTTTGCTTCCTCATTGCACCACGACCGCGGTGTTTGTGCTGGTGTGCATCCTGTGAGATGGTGTATTCGCAGCCACTTCTTCCTGGAATGCCGACCAGCCCTTTAGCATTAAGTTACTAACACGTTGAGGAATAGGCACTGCACGCATGGATGCGAAACGGCGTATGAGTGAAAATATGTTGCAAATTATGTGTTGTTAACATCACCTATTAACAGTTTTTTTGGTGTTGTAATTTCGCTGTAAGAACCTTTGTACGTCACTATTACTTTGCTGTGGATAAAAATGGAGTACTGCTTTACCAAACACAAAATAACAAGCCATCGAATTTATCAGATTGTAAATGTACTAGAAAGAGATGTTTGAAAGACACTGAATACGAACATGTGCCTTGATCAAGTGTACTACTTTTTCTCGTAATATTCTCATCATTTCAGAAATAATTTTTGTCAGAAGAAGCTGACTGGAGAGATAGGCATATCACTTCACGAGCCAGAGAAATCAAGAACAGTCCAAAGGATTGATGTCAGACACGCACGATCAAACAAAATGCATTGTAGATTAACGCCCATTAGAATCTGTATCAATTATTGATGTGCTGCAATGTAAATTTGAGATGCTCTCCAACCTGTTAGGTTGCACTTGTTTTGTTGTACTGGTGTCAGCGTGACTGAGACACATTTATTGCATCTCCAGCGTAGAACATTCTAGTCCAGCCTGTACTCATAGATACTTCGCTAAGGGACTTGCTCGTAGTCATGGCTGAAGAATGAATTCCAAGTAGTATGCCTTCTCTTCCAGCGTCTTCTTCCGCTTACTGCGTCTTTGTAGGACTTCTAACCTAGTTTGTGCCAGACAGGATAGGAACCACTACATCAATTAATTTTTTTACTGTTTGTTTAAAGCAATTCCAAAATAATTTTCTAGATAATGGTCTATGTGAGCACTATATTAATGTTGTGATTGTGGTTCATGCCCTGACTGGAACGAAGACGCAACTAGAATGGTGTGGTTATATGTGTTGCACCCTTTTTTCTTAAATTGATTTGCTTTCACCACTCAAGCAATGTGTTTATCTGTACGTTTATGCGGGGCTAGTGCCTTCAGTTGGGGCCCTCTTGGGATAACCGGTTACCACGCACTAAATATGTGTTCCCCCTCCCTGGCCCATTGAATTCATGTCAGTGGGCTGGGCATGCCTTGTGTTGGTGTTCAGCTTCGTTACGATAAGTTGCCATTTAAAATACTTAGGTGTATTTTTTCCGTTTTTTTGCAGACCTCTAACCCTTGGAGAGTGCTACACCGGGCAGCCAACCAGCTTGCTTGTTCCATCCGGCCAGTCAATCATGCGCTAGCTTACATCTGCCTGTCCCCGCCCCTTTACCCTTCGGAAGGTGCCACTGCGTGTTGCTTTTAGAAAACTACTTTAGCTTCTGGGCTGCAATTCATCTAGCACAATCATTCGCTTTCTGCTTGTCTTATCCATCATCTTTATTAGTGTGTGCCGAAACACCACCTTCAGTCCCTGACATTGCAACAAGACTGAGAGCATTTGGAAAAGAAAGCAAAGGAAAAAATTAGAGTAATCAAGTCGACAAATCGTGTGTCAATCAAAATAGTTTTCCGAAGATTAAAGGTGGAATCAGAACTTTCTATTCGCAACTTCGGACCTCCCCCAAGAGCAAAGATTTTTTTTTTACGTTTCGCATCGCTGCTAGAAAGTAAAAACCCAATACCCTTCACTACTAATCACAACTCCTAACCAAAAACCCGAAACGAAAAAGAGATCAAGAGAGTCAAGTCGAAAAGCAAGCTGCAGCTGAAGAAGCTCTGGGAAAGCACAGCCTAGCTCTTCCCTTCCCCGAGAGTGCCGCCGTCGCCAGCGTGTTGTGGAGCTCCGACGCAGTCGCCGCCGCCGCCGCCACCGTTGCCGCCGCCTCAGCCTCCGCCGCCGCCGCCTCTGCTGCTTGCCACGCGGCCAGAGCCAGAGCTAGCCACCACCACCAATCAGCAGCCCCAGTCAGCGAGCCAAGACGTCCGCGACCCGCGGTCAAGAACCAGTGATATTTTCATGGTCCAGTGAGATTGATATTAATAACCGTAATATTTTCCTCGTTACTAGTCTTCGTTTGCCATATATTATAAAAATATATAACGCACGTTCCAAGTGAATATAAAGTAACTGTATTAAATACAATAGGATCCGTGTGAAACGTTTCTGATTAATGCAATCGAATGGTGAGAAGATATATAAAGTGAAGAATCTATTTGTGAAATTTGGTACTGTAATTTTAAAAAGTGAGTGATTTTTAAAGAGAGAAAAGAACAACCTTTATATCTACAATAATTAATTGAACTGAAACGAATATATCCTACATAAATATTCACATACGCATATATAAATATATATTTTTTGTGTACGTACTGAGAATCATACATCGAGTGAACTAAGCAAAACAAATCAAAACAAAAAAATAATCAGCATCTCCGTTCGTCTACAAAACTGTTGCGGGTTCTGCGAGTTCAATTTAACGAAACAATTCGTCCCTCCAGAGAGCAAGGCCAGCAACACAAGCGACCTGCAAGAAACTCTGCAGCCGCCGCCGCCGTCGTCGTCGCCCGTCGTCGCCGCCGCCGCGTCCTCCTGAGCTCCCTCCTCCCCACCCCCGCCGCCCCGCGAGCGCGCGCCAGCCGAGCGTGGTCGCCGCTGCTGCCGCGGCGGTCCCCGCAGTCACTGCTGCGAGAGGCGAGCGTGTGAGCGAGCGCGCGAACTCTTCGTCGCCGCCGCCCTCGTCTTCGTCGTCGCCGCCGTCGTCGTCGTCGTCGCCTTCGTCGACGCCGTCGTCGTCGTCGTCGCCGCCGCGCCGCGCCTCTGGCACTTTTTCCTCCGCCTCCCGCCCCTTCGCCAATCGCCGCCATCATTCTGTTCCCCGGCGGGCTCGTCAGCGCCACGCCCCCTCCTCCCCCCAACCCTCCGAGCTCCCCCTTACCGTTCCCCGACTCCCCGGCCGCTTCCAGCATGGCCATGGTCAACATGAACAACCTGCTGAACGGCAAGGACTCGCGCTGGCTGCAGCTCGAGGTGTGTCGCGAGTTCCAACGGAACAAGTGCACGCGACCCGACACCGAGTGCAAGTTCGCGCACCCGCCCGCCAACGTGGAGGTGCAGAACGGCCGCGTGACCGCCTGCTACGACAGCATCAAGGTCAGTGGCTTTGTGATTTCTCTCTTTGCCTTTGCATTTGCCTGTTTTCTCTTCTTATTCCCCTTCTTCTGTCGATCTCATTTTATTGTGATTACTATCATTGCTGCGGCCGTCAATGCGGTTGCTGGGCGCTGGGGACAGCGGGGCAGGCTCGCTGAGTAGCGCGTCGCCAGCGCTAGTTAGCTTGTGCTGAGTGTGTGCCTCGCGTCCCGTCTCCACTCTAACACCTCTATTGTCCATATATTTTATGTCCAGATCTTCATAGGATTTTTAGGTATGGGATTTGCATAGTATATATTCGTCTACGTAGACCGTAATAGCGATAGTTAATGTTTGTGTGGTTAAAGTATCAATTTTTACGACTTTTTTCGCCTACCTACCTAATTTGAATATTATCTACGTTCACAAATATCATGCTTAGTCCTTGGAGTTAAAACGTAATCTAAATGATACATTTGAAAATGTCAGTTTTTCCCTTTCTGACCTGTGAACCTCAATATTATTCTCTTCGATGAGTCACAAAGGTTTATTATAATTTTCAAAAACTGTATGTACCGTTTCACTCTATTCAGTGCTCTTTGAATTGCAGAGGAGATAGTCCAAACTGTAGGTGAGATAGACGAAACCAGTTTCTACCGTTGGGGGACAGGAGTCCGTTAAAAATACGCAGTCAAACATTATTGCTTTATCTCGAAAGTGGTTGTAAACCGATTGGGTGACGAACGCGCGAACGAACTTCATAGCGAACGCTGCAGTGACGAAACATTTGTTCCTAGATTGATTATCTTGTATTTGCGAACTCTACGAGTACCATTTTCATTAGACGCGCTAGTGTAGTGCATGATATATCCCGGAATGTGGCGGTGTTTCTCTCCCGCTCGAACGTGTTCACCCGCGCCGACCTACACACAGGCTTGAAAGGTTTCTATTTCCAGGTATCTCCACTCAGCGAGACACCGCCTCAGTTGGGGCACGCTCGAAGCTCCCGACTGGTCTCTTAGCATGTATGGTTGTGCAGAGCATGTAAGTGTAAGTGTGTGTATGTATAGGCAGTGGATGAGACGAGGATGAGGAAGGAAAAATGGCGCGCAGTCAGTGACCCGTTTGTTCAGTTCTCCAGCGCTCGCCTGCTTTTTATCGGATAACTTACCAATCAGAGCAGCGGCCCGCTAAAATTCTCCTCCAAACAGTGGCTGAATTCGACGGTGATACATTGCTTTGCAACAGTTGCGAAGCATCCGACTTGGAGAGTGGGAGACACGCGACGATGGAAAAGAAGGGGCATTGTCATGGATTATGTCCCCCGCACTCGCCCGCTGCGACGACGTTTGTAACCTTTGCCACCGGCTAGCGCTGGTCAGGTGCGGAGCCGGGCAGCGCACGGCGAAGTCTCGCGCTGGGAATGGGGTGGGTGGGTTAAAAGGCTGATGGTGCTCGTCTGTCCTTCCCTCACTCATCACCCTCAAATCCCTCCCGGGTGGAGTCTCGCAGTCTCCCGGAGTCTCGGCCGTCCGCTTCATTCCGACAGTTTCGCGCGACCTTGGGGTACTCCACAATTGCTCTCATTGACCCAATTTACCGTGACTACCTTACGTCTTATTTAAAGCCCTCGTATCACTTTGAATATCTGTACGATTCGGCGATGAACCTTACACTTAGCTTCTCGGAACTTGTCTTAATCCTTTACATTTCAAATTAATCTCTAGCGCTAATTCATTTGCCTATCATGCAAATTTCTTTGGTAAGTAATACAGTGTTTCGTGCTCCGAACAGGTTGCAATTTCGCGTTTATTCTGAATACGAACCAAACCATCTTTTGGTCAGACTCTTCCTTTAACTGCCAGAGTCCAGATTATTTCTCCACCCATCTCTAATATTCTCCATCTCTGCTTAACTCTTCCTCTACCTCCAGGTCGGTTCTCCTTTGCACACAACCCCCCTGTCCATCCCCAGGCACGGGCCTCGCGGTGTCCGTCGGATTACCCACCCCCGGGGCTGACGACCCACCACTGGTTCCCCAACCACGCCCCCGGTGCCCACCCCACCCCCGTCGCGTCGCGCTCCGCCCCGCTCCCCGGCGGGACGGATCCACGCGGTCCGAGCGAGCCAGCCCGGGGCTTTGTACGAATAACGATAATCGCGGTCAAGACAATCCGGATCAAGCCCGGCGGCGCGAACAGGATTTGGCGCCAGGGCGGCCGGCGCACCCCGCACCCTCTCGTCTCCGCTTCGCCCCGGGCCACCGACCGCAGGGCGACGCTGCGTCCGGCGCGCAGTTGCGGCGGCCGAGCCGCTGCCGCCCCCCACCCGTCTCCCACCCGTCTCCCCCGCGCCACGCCTGCCATCACCCCGCGCGACTCTCAACCCAGATTTTCTTCTTTTCAGCGCGCTTCGAGAGCCGCTGCAGTTTGTCGCCCCGACCGCGTAATTTGAATCGGTTTTCAGCGCGCAGGGATTCGGGCGTCGGGCGCTCGGCACGCGGCGAGCCTTGCCGACCGGGATTTGCTCCTTTAGTTACTCATACCTGGCCCATTTCGTAGCCAGCGTGACACCGCTTGCGTTTGTTTATCGCAGTCTTCTCTACGTGCGTTCTCGCCCAGACCATTGTTCCCATCGCTCGAACTCCCAACGCTCGTCATCACCATTCACAGCATCGCATTTCTGAATCTCCTGTGAGCCTTTGGGCACATTGTCACACGGATGATTTCTATATCACCTCTCCCAATCCATACCGTACTCGCACTTCCGCCCCAAACCAACTTTCATTGGCCCCTTTTAAAACATTCCTGCCTACCTCGCCCAAAGCCGCTATCCGCTCGTCACCGACGCTGCCTCTTCGCGCGCTCGGCATCACGCGCTTTCACTGGCAGCGGCGCCGTCGTTACCCTCGCCCCGGTCCGCACTGTCCCCGCGCGAGCGATCGCACGCAAATCCCCGCGCGCGCTAATGCGAGGCCGAGCATTCAGCGGCCGATAACGACGCGCCGCGAATAAATACGAGTTATAGACGGCGCGCTGCTCCTTTGAGGTCGCCCCATCCGGGATTTTATCGCCGTGAGGCCGATTGTGCGCGCGCCCGCGCGGGTAACTCGGGTTCCGAGCCCCGCGAGCACCGAACGGCGCCCGGATTTTTGCCCACGCTCCCCC